CCCTAAACCAAAAAAAAAAAAAAAAAAAAAAAAAAAAAAAAAAAAAAAACGATCGGTTCAGCCGGCCGCGTATCGGCCTCCTCCGCAACTGGGCGGTCTAGGCGGCCGTCCGGCCGCGGAAGAGGCCGATTCCGGCCTTCCTCGCCGCAGCCGGCGCCTAGGCGTGATTTTTGCAACATTGCTCAAAATAGTATGTTTTTTAAGTGATAAAAGAAAATCGTAAGTACTCTTCAAGAGTGTGAAATACTATTATTAGATGGATCGGAGTAATACTATCAACTATTATGTAGTGTGATGACACATTAATTATTATTCCAAATGGGTGGTCAATAATTAAAAAAAAAAAAGGTAGTCCAAGTGACAAATTAGTTTCATTATGGTAATGATCACAGGAATAACATAAATTCACCTAAGTTCAATTCTTATAAGTGACAATTCACCTAAAAAAAAAAATGACATAGTGCTAAATTACTCACAAACCACGTAGAAAGGATGTAGGTAATTTCATGTATAAAAGATACAATTGAATTTTAAAAAAATTAAACTTTTATATATAATGTTATGTCCATAATAAATATTAAAGAGTGGCTTCAGAAGAAAAAAATATTATTTTCTTTACTAAAATTAGTATTGTAATATTATTTTTAATTCTTTATTTTTGTTGAATACTAATAGAAAAATCACATTATAATTAAATATTAAAAATGTAATACAATAATTACATGTTATATACAGTAGTCAATATTTATTGATAATTTTCATATAGAAACTTTTTGTATTGGATATATCATTAAATAGAGATGAAAATTTTGCTAAATTTAAAATTCAAAAGCCTGATAGACAAATAGACAATGATGGGATCATGGGAGAAGGTTCTATCTGGTTGTCAACTTCCTTATTTTATTTTGTTGAGGCTTCAGTATTTTAGGCTTTAACATTTTATGATGTACGAATATATATAATGGTTGTTTAGTAATATAGCTAATCAGTTAATTTTGACTTATTTGATCGCTATTAGTTGTTTGATTTTGTTAAACAATTAATATGTAAGTTTGATTAATTAATTTTTTTGTAACAATTTATTGTTTTAAAATGCTAAAATTCAAAAAACTGTTTAAAGTAATTTTTTTCAATCAGCTTTGTGAGAAAGTCATTTTACATATAATCAACTATAACTAATAGCTAACCAATATGGTTGGTGTGGTGATTCAGCACCTTGTCCTTAAGCATGAGGTTGGGGGTTTAATCCTGGAGGGATACCTTTGGGCAGCCAAAAAACTATAATTTACCAAATATGTTTTTACAAACTAACTAATCCAATTAACTATTTACCAAACCTCCTTACAGCATGTTTGGTTCATAGAATGAATTTTGAGCTAATAGGAATGCTATTCCAAAAAGAATGGAATAGGGAAGGAATAGAATAAGAATTGTATTCTATTGTTTGGTTCGTGGAAGGAATAGACTTTAGAAATTATATTACAGTGTTTGGTTGATTTAAGGAATATAAATGAAATATGTTTTAAAAGACAAAAATACCCTTATAAAAATATGTGATGGTGGCGATGGTGGTGGTGGTGGTGGCAGTGGCGTTGGTGGCGGCGGCGGCGGCAGCGGTGGTAGTGGCGGTGTGGGGGTGGCGATGCTGGTGGTGGCGGCGGCGATGGCGGTTGTGGCGGTAGTGCTGGTGGTGGCATCGGTGCTGGGGTGGTGGAGGCGACGGCGACGATGGTGAAATAGAAAATAAATTTAACTGGAAGTAAAATAGGAAATAGAAACTTTAACCTATTCCTGAGAACTCAAGAATAGCCTAATACCAGGGGGCCAGGAATCTCTATTCCCCTTGCAAGGGGATACGTCATTAACGTAACATTTGTATAGATTTGCTTATTTGGTAAACATTTTCTTAAGGCATGATCTATTAATTTTTAAATAATTATTACAAATTAAACGTTATAAATAATATATCGTTAATAAATGAGACTTATAGCTTTATTAAGAAAAAAAACATATTTATAATTTTGTAAGGTAATATTATATTCTTTTGTTGTGCTAATCACTCCTAAGAGTCCTAAATTCCTAATCCATTCACCAAGACAGGTAATGGTATCAAATTTTATTACAGAGTAGTAATCATAATTAGATATTTATAACTTATCTCGTGATATTCAAATTGCAATACTATTCATGTGAGTGAAGTTGGCTACCTGGAAAGCCAGCGTCCTAAGCATGGCTGGCCGAAGGGTCCTAGTCCAGTCATCCCTTGCTACGACCCCAACCTATGCGATGCAATCCATGAGAATGCCGGTAAGTACTTGCAATTCCATAGATAAAATTTGCAGGAATTTCTTGTGGGGTCATTCGGAAGACACTAGGAAAATTCACACAGTCAGCTGGGACAACGTTTGCATGCCTCGGGATTGTGGTGGTCTGGGGCTTCGTCAAGTCAAAAATTGTAATATGGCGTTCCTTTCCAAAATGGCTTGGCAAGTAGCAACCAATCAGAACAAACTGTGGGTCAAAGTCCTTAAAGAAAAATACGTTAAAGATTCCAGCTTTTTTAACACGACAGCTACCACAAACTCCTCTTGGCCGTGGAAAAGCATCATGAAGGGCGCCAAGTCTCTTCGAAGTGGTATCAGGTGGAAGGTGGGGAATGGCAACTCTCTTAACTTCTGGCATGATCACTGGATGGGCCCGGGACCAATCAGCTCTTTACCTAATATTACTATCCCTTCGGACGCCCATGCGACAACTGTAGGGTGCATGATTACGAGGGACAATACCTGGGATATTAACGCCATCCAAACGTTACTGCCGGCAGATATCGTCGACGCCATCCGAGCAGTCCCGCTCAGCTACGCCGCAACGCAGGACGATGCCATAACTTGGCCTCACTCAGGTACGGGTTCCTTTACTGTTAATTCGGCTCATGCTTTGATTGCAGGTTACCATGACGAACCCACCAACCTTGGGTGGATGTGGGCTCTAAAATGTAAGGAGAAGATCAAGATGTTCCTGTGGAAAATGATGAACAATGGGCTCCTGATCAACGAGGAAAGACAGAGACGCGGGCTGGCAATAGATGGCAATTGTCCGAGGTGCGTTGATGTCAGCGAATCCTTGGACCACGTCTTCCGTCGTTGTGACAAAGCGGTGGACTGCTGGAGCATTGCTGGAGCACCAGCCTCCTTCGATCCCTCTGCCATCACTCCTCTGAAGACTTGGGTGCGGCTTAACTGTGTTGGGCAAGAGAGAAACGTGTTGGGCATACCCTGGAACAACCTCTTCCCGCACATCATCTGGAACCTTTGGATTGCCAGAAATGATTTTATCTTCAACACCAAGGATGTCGGGGCAACAGACATTATCAGACAGGCTAAAGCTGAAGCCGAGGAAGCCAGGAGATACCTTTTTAGGCTTGCGGATATGCGAGGGGGCACGCAGAAATGGATCCACTGGACACCTCCTTCGCAAGACTGGCTCAAAATTAACACGGATGGAGCCAGGAAATCTGCCACAGGGTTAGCTAGCGCTGGTGGGCTCATCCGAGATTGGCATGGTGGATGGATCACCGGGTTCTCTACTAAAATAGGCCCGACCAACAGCTTTATTGCCGAACTCTGGGCTATGCGCGAGGGGTTACGCCTTGCGAAAAGTAGAGGTTTCAATAAGATCGTGGCGGAATCTGATTCGGAAGCGCTAGTGCAAGCCATCCTTAACTGCTCGGGGTCTAGTCCGGAAGCTGATACCTTAATTCTTGACTGTAAGAACTTGATGACAAGCTTCCAAGCTTGCCGGCTCATCCATGTCCTACGAGAAGGAAATCAATGTGCAGATTTTTTAGCCAACTTGGGCCAGATCACTACTTGGGGGACTACGGTTTGGCCACAACCACCGGAGGGATTACACAATCTCCTTGCTCGTGACAGCCATTCTGTGGCTACTAGAAGGATCTCTTAACTTTCTGGAGCGTTTAGCTCCTCCTTACTCACCAAAAAAAAAAAAATTAAGAAAAAAAACATATTTATAATTTTGTAAGGTAATATTATATTCTTTTGTTGTGCTAATCACTCCTAGAGTCCTAAATTCCTAATACATTCACCAAGACAGGTAATGGTATCAAATTTTATTACAGAGTAGTAATCATAATTAGATATTTATAACTTATCTCGTGATATTCAAATTGCAATACTATTCATGTGAGTGACAGAAATGAAAATATTCAATTAATATAGTAATAATTAATTCTGTTTTGTTCATTCCAACTATTGAAAATCTGTTATTTATAGTTCTTTATAAGCACGGCTCATAATATTTGGAAAAAAAAAATCACAACTTTAATAAAAAATCATTTTTACCCTTATAGTTTTGTATAATTGTATTTTAATTTTAATGTATAACTATTTTACATAGGTCCTGGTTGGTAACATAGTTGGCTTATCAATCAATTTTAACTTATTTGACAACTATTAGTTGTTTGACTTGATTAAACAGTCAACTTAAGTGTTTGATTACTTAGCTTTTTGTAACATCTTATTGCTCTAAAATGTTAAAATTAAAAAAGCTGCTCACCGATTAGCTTTTTGAGAAAGTCATTTTGCATGTAATCAACGACCAGCTAACAGCTAGTTTACCAAACATCTTTTTACAATAAGTTAATGTTATTAACTAGTCAAACCACTAATCCAATCAGCTAACGGCTATTATCAAACACCCGCATAAATTAACCAACTTGACAACTATTTTTTTTAGTGATAAATAAATTTGAACAAAATGTGGCATAAATCTAAGTTGGCAAAATGTTTAAAATACCAAATGGAAACAAACCAAAGCATGTTAAGGTGAGAAAAGACAAAGGGAAAAATCCAAAAATACAGGGGTGTTTTGGTAATTACAGAGGCAGAGCGGACCACACCACATATTCAAATTTCCGCGCTGTTCCCTCTTTCTCAATGGATATATATAAAGGAGATGATCACTCGTACGGCTCTGTTCGTTGCGCTAATTTCCGGCCGCTGAAGCATACGAGAATTTCGCCGGCCATCGCGACACGGAAAATCCCCTTCTCTCGTTTCCTCCTCTTCTATTCTAAGGGTTTAGATTCGCATTCTAAACCCTTGCGGCCCCTGAGACGACAACAGGGGTCGTCCGGCGGGGGATGAGGAAGCTGAAGTGAACCATTGGGACGTTAATCATTTCCTCTGAGTTTTTCTTCTGATTTTTTGTTTATCGGTTTTATGTAAGTTTTTTTGCGGATTTGAGGACCTTTTTGGCGAGGAAAATGGACGAAGATACGGAGTATTTCGTTGAAGTTGAGCAGGATGAATGCTCCAAGCCTTCGGAGATTGATTTCGATTACGAGTATGACGCCGCTCGTTTCTTCGATTTCTCCCGCTCGGAGACAATCTCCGAGATCCTAGAAGCCGAGCTTTGGTTCCAAGCCTCCGGCAATTATCCGGCTTCTCGTAAGAATTTCGACAAAATCTCTCTCTCTCTCTCTCTCTCTGAATATGCGTGATTATATATATGTATATGTATATGTATGTATGTATTTGTTTTCATTATTCGTTTATTGTCCATATTATTTGCATTTGCTTTGAGCCATGAACTCATGATGAATGAATGAGGAAAGCAGGAATCTCTGCTCTCTGGTTTCTGCAATGGAGGAGATTTTACTATTTTATAATGCGTAATTTTCAATTTTTGATTCAGTAGAGTTCCTCTTTTGATGATTTTGTTCAGTTTGATTTGATGGTTCATAATGATAGTAGGTGATTGTGTGTTTTCTCACCTTTGAATCTTTAGCTTTAATTGTCAAGTCTAAATGCGGGAGTGGCACTTCTTTAGAAATGAAGACATCAGGTATGACTTTTTTTCATGTTTGTTTAATTTATTTTTTGGATTAAATAAACTTTGATAAAAACTTAAAATTAAAAATAGGAACTAATGTGAATCATTAAACTATACTGAATTTATTAGTATTTTTAATACTTCAAAATTCAAGTAATTTCAGTTATCATTTTCACTTCATTTTTTCCCTGTTTTATAGGGGGAAAGAAAAAAAAAAAGTGATGTTTCTAATATTTTAAAATAATTAAAAAAAAAAAGTAACGTATAAAACTGTATTCGGGTTGCGCTCTCCAACTCCAACGGGTTTAGACCCCATTATAATTTTCTTGTTTTTCAAATTTTCTGGATTAAGAAAAGTGGAGGATAAATTTAAGAAAAGAAATGAAGCAGGAAAATGGCAAAAAGTTAGGGCTTGTTTGGGGAGGACAGCCTACAACTAGACGGTTTTTTAATATCTCCCTCTAAAAATTAACATAAAGGCACTTTAACTAGGTACATAAGTATGTTTAATGTACAATTTTATCTAATTTCCATAGTTGTTAATAGTATAGAGATTAAATCAACTTAATTAATATTTAAATTACTTTTGGAACTATTGTAGTAGTTAAAGTTTTATTTTTGGTAACATAGTGATCTAGGCATATTTACATGTTATTTTCTTTTTACTACTTCAGGAACATTAAGTGATAGTAGCATGTCTCAAGAAACTCCAGAATCAAAACCAAAATCAGCACCCAAATTATCCAAACACAGGATTTCAACATTAATGAAACCCACTGCTAGTCACCTGGCCAAGCTAAAGCATGCTCAGAAAGTATATTCTACTAACATTTGTGAAAGGTTTACTTTCATCCCTTATCATATGTTTTTCACAATTTTAATTGTTTCCAAGAACTAGTATCATCTTATGTTTGTACTCATTGTTCTGGTAATTTTTTTTTTACCTCAGCTCTGTTAACTTTACTGGTAAAGTAGTCTCAAAATAACCCTTTATGCTCTACATTTACCATTAATAATTTAATAGTTTGCATTCATTGTTGTTATTGAATTCACTAGATCACTGAAGGCAGTCAATAAGTCTGATGATCAATGTCTGCAAAGTTCTTCTGGATTCGATAATCTAGCTACCAAACGACAAAAACTAGAGACTGGTTACTTGTGTAAGGTCTGTTGGATCAGTTAATATGTTGCAGTCATACGGAAACTTTTGTGTATCTTTTACTGTCCTATGCTTCATCTTTTGTTGTCTGTGTTATTCACCTTGCTTTTGGTTATCTACCCTTGGTGAGTATTCCAAATCATCATTTTCCTCTTGCTGACCAGGTTTCTCATCTGAAGCATCAAGCTCAGATGTTACACAAATTATCCAAAAAGGTACACAGGAAATGCTGTCTTTTGTGTTTTCATGATGATCCTAGTAGTCTTTGACAATTTTTCAATAATAATAATAATGTATGCATTTAAAATTGATGTAGCAGGGTGGATCTGCTGTTTCCAATAACTTAGTTAACTATAAATTAAAGGTCACTGTTCCCAAACAGCCTGAATTGAAAACACTGCATAGAGCGCAAATCCGGAGGTAAATAAGGTCTTTCTGATTATTGATGTCCTTATCCTCCATCCAGCAAAAGGATATTGTTAGTGGACTGATTAACTCCACATGCATTTGTCTAACCTACATGTTTCAGATCCAAGAGTGACTTGCCGTCAAGCGAGTATGAAAAACAGAAAACTAATACCCTTAAAGCACTGCCATTGAACAAAAAAGTTGGTACTTCTTTGAACATTATCAGAAGAACATTTCAATTTTATGTACTAATTAGCAAAAATTATTACTTTAGACCCTCTTGTGCTCTTTATAGATTCCTGAGGCTTGTCTGAAGCCCCAACCTAAGAAGAGCCAACAGAAATTGCCAAATTTTCGAGTATTATGCAACTCTTTCTAATTTTATTGTCCTTATGCTTGATTAATAGAAGATCAGGCTTCCTGTAGGGATACCAAGTCCTTTCTTCTTGTGCTTTTCAGGAATTTCACTTGAAGACAATGGAGAGGGCAAAGATACATTCCCCTGATAATGTGGGTTACTAATAGCTTGATGCAAGTAATATTTTAAAATGATTACTAATTATGCCAAGTTATTAATGTTTCTGAAGAAAGTTCTAGTTTAATAATGTCATGGTTTACTCTGATTCTGCAATTTCTGTTTTCTCATTCTAGCTTTTTCAGTTATCAAGTCATCATACTGCTAATTCTGCTGTACAAAGAACAGCCACTTACCCCAAAAGGTTAGATTACTTGACTCTGATCTCTCCATGATTGAATGAAAAGAACCAAATTTCAAATTCATTTTTATGCTTGACATCACTTTCACAAATGCCCCTTCTGGTTTAGAAGAACTCTTTATGCTACAATCTAAAAAATGTATCTGAAAATTATGTCCGTTCTTGTGTGCTGCTTGAGAATGCTTCATTGTTATCAGAACTGCACCATTTTTCTCATCTACACAATAATGGCACACTCGGATCGTGGCTGTAGATTTCCCTCGTCAACCAAAAAATAAAAAATAATAATAATAATGGCACCCCAAAGTATCTGAAATGTATCCCCCATACTTCACTTTTCTTATTATTCTTACATTCTCAACAATTTCTTTTCAGACCAAAAGCTCCAAGTCCAATGAGGCAAGAGAAAAGTGAAAGGTCACCCCAGACCAACTCTCGCCTATCTAATAGGGTAATGTTGATATTTACTCATTTTTTTAACCATTCATATCTCTTCTCTCAAAAGTTTGAATCCCTAGCCCCAAGGGCACCCACACCCAATCACGGTGACTCAATAGACAGGACCAAATATCGGGATTTACCCACTTTGGGCATAACCATTCTTATCACTCTCTCACCCTCTCTTGTGATTGTTTTTAGTGCTAGTGTTAAAATGTATTTTCTGTTGCCAGAAACTTTCATATGGGGAACACCATGCTGTTGATGTATGTCAAAATACCAGCGAAGAGACTACACTCAATAGAGTAAAGCATTATTTCATTTGTTTTCTCCTTGTTCTATTATCTAGCCTTAAACAGTTTCACTACTCTTCTGCAGAAATTCGAATCTTCAAATAATTTGAGACTATTGCAGCATCCTCCAACAGAATTATTTAACAAGGTATCAAGTTAATTCAAATTCTTTTCTATCCTCTTGGAATTACTTCTAGATGTATTTACCAGAGTTACCAGCTATCTATATCTAGCCAACAACTTTTGGATGGATTTAGCAACTTATTCATCAATTCAATAGGAAAATGATTCATTATTTTATTTCCCAGATGTCCCTTGTACCTGAAATAGACACTGCTGCTGCAATACCTCAGCCAAAATTGCGTCTTTCTGGAAAGGTGGAATTTATATAACTGAAATTTGAGGACTATTTCTGTCTAATGAAACATATGTTATTATGTCTAATGCATGCTTTCTTAAACTAGGGCATGAAAGAGAACGCTCCAGATCCCTTCCGACATGAATCTTTAGTAAGCAAGCAATACCAGCACTTTCAAGATTTTTCCTGACTTAAAAATCAAATTTATTTTCTTACTGTTAATCTCAAATGCAGAAAAGTGCTGGGAAACCAAACCACAGTGGAGTAGGGAGGACTACTTCCAAGAATGTACGCCATCCCAGCGTCAACAGGTCGCACCAAAACATTCTACCATTTTTCTGATACATTACCGTTTAAACGTCTGGAAAATGACTTTTGGAAGTCATTTTTTAGATTTTTCCGTGTTGAGTATTCAAAGAAAATAAAATCAAAAGAAAAATACCTATTTTCGTCAACCAAAAAAAAGAAGTGAAATTGTCTATTTTCTGAGTTTTTTTATTTTCACATATCTTTTTAAGTTAGTTTTCGATTATTATTACCACCACACCACTTATTATTATTATTATTATTATTATTATTATTATTATTATTATAACAAATAATATGTTCAATTTCTTAACTTTCAGTTAAATAGAAAAATTCAATTTTATATTTTTGCCCAAACATTATAAAATTAAAATATTTTTCAAAAATATATATTTTTCAAAAAATATATTTTTAAAAAACATTTTTCAGATTTCTAAACGGAGCGTAAGTATTTTGCAAACATGAAATGAAAGCATACTAGTGCATTTTAACATAGAAACATTCTGTTGGACAGAAGGTTGGGAATTTGCTGAGGAGCAAGAAATGTTTGTACCTTTTAAAGTACTAATAAAGTCCTTGTATAGTGTTTTATTCAATTTAGTCTTTGTACCTTTATTCTGTTCAATTTAGTCCATCTACTTTTAAAAGTGGTGAAACTAAGGACAATTGTCTGTCTAAATCTCATTAAGAACATGCTTTTAATTATTTATTTTAGACATACTAATTTAATATATTGGTGGTAAAAATAATTAATTTTAAATATTTATAAAGAAATATATGAGTAAGAATATAAATATCGTCAGCGTCACGTAACCTAAGTTAGCCGTAATATTAACATCATTAACTATTGTCTTTAATTACACCGTTTTTTAAAGTATATGGATTAAATTGAACAAAATAAAGGTATAAGGACTAAATTGAATAAAACGTTATAGTACAAGGACCTTGTAGGTACTTTGACCCCCTCTATGCGACATTAAATGATGGAGATCCTTGTTGCCAGGCATTGTGTCATCTTCTGTTCATGAGACATTCAAGTGTTGCACCTATTAGGACTAGTATTAAGATACTTGTATTTGAGTCATAGTATGACTCCCTATTCTAATCTCCTTATGATTTCTCTTGTATATATATTCCCCTTACATGTACATTGTAACTACGGTTCATAATATACAGTTTCATACCATTCTCATCTGGTATCAGTTAAGTTAGGGTTTTTTTTTTTTTTTAATTATTTATAATTACAATGGCTGACGAATTTGCTAACTCCTCCGAACAGACTATTTTCAATGTAGCTATCACGTCTTTCACTAGCTCTGTTGTTACTTCGCTTTCTACTGCTCATCACTTTTTCACTGTTAAGCTTACCCATAAAAATTATCTGTTTTGGAGAACTCAAGTCGTATCGTTTCTTGACAAACATGGTCTCATGTCGTTCGTAGATGGGTCTCATCCCAGTCCAGCGCCTTTCCTCCTCGCCGTCGACGGCGACTCGTCGCCGGCCCCAAATCCCGAGTATGCAATGCGGTTTCGGCATGATCGGGCTCTTATGTCTATGTTGATGTTGATCTCTTCTCTCAGTAAAGAAGTCATGCACCTCGCCGTTGGACATTGTACGTCACGGGAGGTTTGGGAGTCAATTGAACAGTCTTTGGCTTCCGCATCTCGCACCTGCTCGTTAAATCTCCTTGGCCAACTCCAGTCTCTAAGCTAGGGAGATTCTACGATTGCTGATTATATTGGTCGTGCGCGTGTTATTTTGGAGGATCTTGTTTTCGCCGGTAGGCCGGTCGGGTTAAACGAGATGAATCTTTATGTGTTTCGGGGTTTACAGCCAGAGTTTCAAAACATAACCGCATCTCTCTCTGTCCGCGGTACCGAAACCCTAGGCGAGTTGGCCGACTTTCTTGGCGCTCAGGAGTTCATCCGAGGAACGGCTCCTAGCGCACCATTGGCGGCCTTCGTTGTTCAGCGAGGCGAGCAAACCTGCCGAGGAGGCTGCGGTAATAACCGCGGCAGGCAGAACCAAAGTCGCGGTGGCCAGCGTGGAGGTGGCGGCGGTAGGTCGCAGGCTGGCCGGGGCGGCGGTCAGCGTGGGCGCAGCGGCAATGGTGGTAATGGCGCACCGCCGGTCTGTCAGATCTGTGGTCGTACGGGGCACTCAACTTTGGCTTGTTACAATCGTTATGATCATCCTCCACAAACAAATTTGACATATCAGAATGACCACTCAGATCTCAATGGCTCTCAGGCTTGGATTCCGGATACTGGAGCATCCAATCATGTAACTCCAGATATTGAGGCCCTATCTACATCGGAAGAGTACACTGACACATTGCGTGTGTATGATGGTAAGGCACTTCCTATTAGTCGTGTAGGTCATGCTTCTTTTAATACCCCATCTCGTTCCTTCCAATTGTCTAATATCCTTCATGTTCCCAATCTGTCTACATCTTTATTATCTGTTCAAAAATTTGCAATAGATAATAAAGTGTTTTTTTGAGTTTCACACGTCTTTTTTTGTTGTGAAGGATATCAATACCAAGGAAATTCTACTTAAAGGCAATAGTCATGAGGGCCTTCATAGACTTCCAATTGTCATACCGTCTCCCTTCGCTTTTCTTACAGCTTGTACATCTCTGTCAGTGTGGCATGATCGTTTAGGATAACACATCGTCATATTTTACTTTGTATTCTTCAGTCGTGTTCGATTAGTGGGTCTAATAATTTTATTTGATGTAATTCTAGTTTGCGTAATGCGTGTCAATTGGGAAAATCTTCTCGATTCCCGTTGGCACATGTTGGGTCCTCCAGTTCTAGTGTTCTTGATTTAGTATACACAGACATTTGGGGTCCAATCCGTTTTTTTGTCAATTGATGGCTATCGTCATTTCGTTATTTTCGTTGATGATTATACTCTCTACATTTGGTATTTTCCCATGAAATTAAAGTTTGATTTGTATGTCATCTTTGATAAGTTCCGCACAATGGTTGAACGACTTTTTAACAGAAAAATTAAAGCCATTCAGTCTGATCTAGGAGTTGAATACAAAAAATTACATAATTTCTTTACTCAGTTAGGCATCTTTCATAGACAATCATGTGCCTACACTCATGAACAAAATGGTCGTGTCGAATGAAAGCATAGACACATAGTTGAAATTGGTCTGGCTTTTCTAGCTCGTGCCTCTGTTGCATATAAATTCTGAGATTTTGCCTTTGAAACTGCAGTTTATTTAATTAACAAAATATCATATGTTGTATTAAATAATCTCAGTCCCCATTTTAAAGTGCATAATTCCAATCCTTCATACTCTTTTTTTTCGTGTCTTTGGGTGTCTATGTTATCCGTATCTCAGGCCATACAATCGTCACAAACTCTCATTCCGGTCCTCCCCATGTGTTTTCCTAGGTTATCCTGAGTCGTTTCGGGGGTATAGATGTATGGACTTACAGACTAACAAAGTTTATGTGTGCAGGTATGTAAGGTTTAATGAGACAGTTTATCCTTTTGCTACTAAAAATACCGTGCAGACATCTTAACCGGCGCAACATTACCCGTGGGCTGAGTCTGTTCTTCGCCCCGCGGCTACCGCTTCTCCGTCTCTTGGCACGGCCGACGTCCGACCCAGCTACATCGACGACGATCCCGTGCCACCTCCATCGCCGCATGCTGCAACCGCTGATCACTCGGCTTCGCCGGAGCGCGAGCAGCATGACCAGGCGAACCAGCCCGTGAAACGCCCTCGTGGGAAGACGGTTAAGTCCATAGTTCAAACTCATGAGATGCACACTCGGAGCCGGTCTTAGGCTCCACCGTCAACTTTAATTGTTCAAGTTTGTCTTTAGGATCCTACATGTTACACTCAAGCCGTTAAATATTCAAAATGGCGTGAGGTAATGGATCAAGAACATTTTTGGGTGTAAGTGGGTTTTTCGTACAAAACAAAAAGCTGATGGCTCCATTGAGAGGCATAAGGCAAGTTTTGAAGCAAAATGAGTTAATCAGGTGCCCGGTCAGGACTTCTTTGACACGTTCAGTCCAGTGGTTAAACCAACCATAGTCAGGTTACTTCTTTCCTTGACTTTATCATCTGGGTGGTCTATTAAGCAATTGGATGTTCATAATGCTTTCTTGAATGAAAATCTCTCTGAAATTGTGTATATGAAACAACCACCTGGGTATATTGATGCTTACTATCTGGATCATGTTTGCTTATTGAAAATGTCACTTTATGGATTAAAACAGACACATAGAGCCTGTTTTAACCGTTTGCACACCTTTCTACTATCTATTGGAGTAGTTTATCGGCGTGCCAACACTACCTGAAAATATAAGGAGATTGTCAAAAATAGCAAAGTACTCTCAGGTCTCGCGTATATTCCGAATGTTCAACCATTTCTAAGGTGTCTTCGCAGGCTTTTTTATACAAGCCGAAGTGACCGTTGCACTCAGCCACTCATTAATGCAATAGATGTAAAAGCTATAAATCTTAAATGTTATTTAATCATTGTGATGGCCCTTCATTTCCTCCAACGGTCTGTCTCATCATTACCGCTAACTCCACCTTCATTACTTCTCAATGGCCATCACGCTAAACACTCAGACCATTCCGCATCTACACCCGTTATACGAATTTATTATTATTATTGTTGTTGTTGTTGTTATTATTATTATATTACAATATTATTATTATAAAATTTATTTAAAAAATAATAAATAAATATATGTTCACGGGCTTCGGAAACCCGTGAGCACTAATCACATGTCCCGTTGCTAATTACCTTCACGGTGCTAGGCAACAGACTTATGAGCCTCGTCGACGGGTTCAAACACCCCGTTATCTAGTACTGGCAACACTATTGAACTTATCTACATTGTTTTGGAGAAAATAATTTATTTTCTCAAAAAATTTATCGATAAAGCTATTTTAGAATTTTAGTGTTATGAAGTAATAAACTGTTAAAAAAAATTGATTAACCAAACACTCATATATTGGTTGATAAACTGTATTGCCAAAGAGGGCCAAACAGTCTTTTATATCACCTGAATTCCATAAGTTTACTTCTAAGAGCATCAATATCAACAGATCTCTTGAAGTTTATTCACGGGTTTTTAGGGTAGAATGCCAACATGGCAAAGAGAGATGCGAGAGAGAGAGAGATGAGCAACTCCTTGAGAGAGAGCCTGCTATGCGCGTGTAGTGCACATGGTGGCGATTCAGGCGCGCCTGACTTTCTTTATTATTAATATTTTTTAAATCAATTTTCTTTTATTTTTTTTCTCTTTTTTATCTCTCCTCCCATATTATCTTTCTTAATCACACTTGCAAAAACTCTTCAAAAATCACAAAATATTTTCACTATTATGGATGCTCTAAGTTGGGTCTTCAAGATTTGTATGCCCCAACTTAAGGGAGGTATTGAAGAATAAAACAGGAAAAAACAGGAAACCACTCCCTCAGTATTGAAGCAAGTGAAGTGATCACTCCTTCCTCAGTATACACAGCTCATTCGCAGTTGTGCTACTCTATTAGTAGAGGTTATACACTATCTCTCTAGCCTCCTCTCATACATAGTCCTTTATTTTCTGCATTTAGCTCTGTAAAAAAGTCACCACAATGTCAATAAAATATCTCCTTTCATCATATGCTTATTCTCTTATAACATCCTCAATATATATAATTTTTGCAGGTGTGACTAAGAAAAAGAAGATGGAAGAGAACATAAAAAGGGGGAAAAAAAGCAAAAGAAAGTTGAAAACCCAAAAAAAAAAAAAGCAGCATTAACGCGCTTGGTTGGACGCTGTGTTGTGCTTCACTCGACCAGGGATATTTTCCTTGTTGAGTCCTACATTTATAATAAAAACTAATGCTTTGTAAGGTGATTTTTTTTTTTCTTCTCGCTCCCCACCCTCTCTCCTCCACATAAGCCTTGTATTCTAAAAAAAACACATAAAAATGCATTGATGCCTTGATGGGATGCCCTTACAGGGCGTTTGGTTGGAGGGGGGAATTATGTGGAAAAGGAATTGTAATTCTATGGGAGTTGAATTACTGGGAATAAAGTGAGAATTTAAATTCCAGTGTTTGGTTGACAGGAATAGAATTACTGGAATTTTAATTCCAATGTTTGGTATACATGGAAATTGAAAGGGAATAATAAGTAGTATAAAGTTAAAAATGTCTATTATTGTTGTTAGACATTAATTTTAGGTTAAAAAAGGAAGGAGTAATTTTAACTCATCACTATCTTTTTTTCCCAGAAATTAAAATCCCGGGGGGACATGTGATTTTAATTCCATGAAAATGGGGGAATTGCAATTCCATTCCCTCCAACCAAACTACGAAATTTAATGACCTTTAGAATTAGGTAGGAATTAAGTGGGAAGGGAATTTAAAATCTCTCCAACCAAACGCCCTATTACTGCTTCCCTGTTGAGATAACAAAACTGTACCAAAAAGACTCAAAAAAGATGTAGAAGTCATCTCAATGTAAACCTGAGTGAGGGTGATACAATTTGCCAATTGCCATCCAAAAGTTCCCCTTACATAAAAACTAAAATGTAATGTCAACAAAATCACAATATGGACTGGGTTTGCAGTTCTGACAAAGAAATGAAGCCACACCAACTCAGCCAAATTAGTTTCAAGACTTGTAGAAGCATAAGAAAGTCGACCAAAAGAAATCCGTTACAGCATCATCAAAATCGATAGAACAACACAAATGATGCGTCTTGCCTTGTCTCTTCCCAGCACGTGTCCCAATCACGACACTGGATCAGCATCGTGCCATCCCTTGGTGCAAGGCGGTATTGCCATGAACTCATCAAATTCCTTCACGTGAATATCACAGCATTTCCACTGCAAAGTTATAAAACACAAAATTACAAACCATAAACAACGTCAAAAGACATGAACGATAACATGGAAAAGAAGAAAGGTTTACCATACTGACTCACCCCTCTCATCCGATCATGGAATATAGCAGGGCCAGGGTGGTAACTGCAAGCAGTGTCATGATTTTCCTTCTCTGTAAAGGTCTTGCCACATCCCTTATGTTTACAAGTTTGAGGCTGGTTTATATCAACTATCTTCTTTGGAGGAGGTGGATGGCTCTCATGTAAATCTTGATTGCTTTCATTAGACGTGGAAGCTACTGTACTTGATGATTTTGGATTAACCTCTTTGGGTTGAGAACCTTTAAGAATGTCAGTAACATTAGAATTCAGGTTTTGAAATAGTTACCCCCACATGGGATTGACAGACTGCATCTCCAGTCATTTTTAATTTGGAACCACTTGAGTAGATACATTAGAAACCATGAAAAATTGTTTGTGGCATAAATATTCATACAACAAAATACAATCTAGAAGGGGTAACCCCAACCAAGATGGCAAGATATCCACGCTTGTAACCACAAGGTCACGAGTTTGAATCCTTGCCCCCTTGGTTTGAACCGGTCAGCTACGGGTAACCTAAGCTGGTTTACTTCCTTATGGCCCTTATGGGTCATAAGGTGGGGTTAACACTTAACCTACACCCGAAAGGGTTGTGGGGTTTCCCTCGTCATCCAAAGATACAATCTAGAAATATGTAAATCTTACCATGATCCGAACAAAAGAAACCCTGGCGGCACCTAGCACAATTTTCTTTGGATGATGCACTGGGCGTGGTGGTTGGAGCAGGAACTGGTCTATTTGAAGCGGCAGAAGCTGGCTTTGTTAAAACTGGTTTTTCTGTTGTGTGCTTCCCTGTCTTACACCTTCGTAACAAAAGCCAATAAAATGTTACACGTAAAGCAAAGACTATAATTTACCAATTAACTATTCAGCAACAACGGGAGTAGGCAAAAAGCACTATTTGTACTCCTTTTGTTTAAGTGCATGCAAGTAGATTATACTTCTTCAGCTATGTTGTTCTGCACAACAGGAAGGAGGACATCGCTCTTAAATTGGTTAATTACTAAAATTTTGCCAACTAGTGTTTGTAATCTACAGGATCACAACCCCTTAATGGAGCATTGTTCTTAGTCCCATAGGTAAAGCCACACATAGAATAAGGTTGTAAAATCCATACCCCGGAATTTCTAGAAACAAACTGAAATCGTGACTTCTTTTCTTGCAACAACTCCACTCTTTCATCCCGTCATGGAATAAGGGCTGCGAAATACGAATTCTACATTAGATAAGAATGAACCTAGAAGCATGCCATCCTCAAAGAAAGATAAAACTAAAGAGCCGAGTTTATTTAACTTACACCCTGATGAAACGTATATGCCCAGCAAGACAGCAACCAAACCATACACATGCATAAAAGAGCTCAAGTAAGTATATTTCTGAAGAATATCCAAAAGATTCTTGCATAATACCAAGTGCCCTAATTTTGCCACTTGGAAGCTAAATTCCTTGATCTGGAAGAGGGGGAGGAGGTTGAATAGAAAGAAACAAATAGATCAAAGAATATATTCATCTACTAGACTACTACTAAATGGAATTCCAAGCAACCCCTTATTAGTGAATTTTCATCCCACAAATAAAATGATACTATGATAGCAACCCAGATTACATATTTTAATTTCCAAAACTACATATAATGATGCTACACCAAAAATACAAACACAAGTAATTAACAATTTCACAGAAGGGTATTAGAAGGTAACTTCAGCTTGATGCTTTTTCTCAAGTTCTACAGTTAGTCAAAAATTCTCTAAATACTTGCTACAACATGTTGATGAAAGAAACTTAATTTAACATATCCTTAGCAAAAATAATGAATCACTTAATCGCATCTCAACACTTACAAGCACTAAAAGCCTAAGTCTTTTCACTGAATTGAACTCGAAATCGCAATGAAGCTTCCGATTTAAAGAAACAACTTTTCAATTTACTCGATTTTGTGTCTGTGATCAAATCTTGCAGACGAGCAAATCAAAAAAGAAATTCTAGTTGTAGGCATCTCAGAGAGAGGGAGGAGAGGTACAAACCGCATCGTGATAAGTGCAGGAATCTTCTGGATTATCATCCTCCGTGAAAAAGGCGTTGCAGCCGATCCTCTGGCATCGAAGCTTCTCCATCGGCGACTCTCTCTCTCTCTCTCTCTCTCTCTCTCTCTCTCTCTCACTCTCACTCAATCAGATTCGCCAAGAACTGCAGTGAATCTTGAGACTTGAGAGTGCAGACGGTCTCTAATATAATTGATTAAAGGGAAATAACGGTTTTTATTATGTTCATAATCTAAATCCTACGCCAGATTTGTTCCTTAAATTTTTATTTTATTGACTTTTTTTCTTTTTAATTAACTAGTGCTGAATATTGTTATTCTATATTAATATTTTAGATTGAATTTGTTTAGATTTTAGATTTTTATATTATTGTATAATAATGATACTAATAGTAATGTAAACTAGTTTTATAAATTTAATATTTATATTTTGAAAATAAAATTATATAGTGCTCGAAGTCTCGAATATATAATGTCTAAATATTATTATTATTGAAGAAGATAAGAAAATATATAGTGAATACATGTATATGACAATAATAGTTGGAAAAAATAACTGAAGTTATAACGGTAGAAATACTTTTGACAAAAATATTATATAATACAACTCTTATAACATAATAATGCATACATAATACAACTCTTAGATTAGAAGATTTACTAATTAAAATTACATAAAAGACAAAGAATAAAAATAATATAAATTACATTCAAATGCAAGAAATGGTTACAACTTCAACTACAACAAATTAACAAATTAGTGTAGCTGTAAAGTTGGATGTTGTGGACAAAAGAAGCCAACTTTAACCATTTTCACATCTAGTCGAAGGCTCTTGACTTGTGTTGGAGAATAAAAACATTGATCTATTCTTACACGTGGTGAAGTCTGAAGTAAATTATACCACGAATCATAATCTATCTTGCATTGTGGATTATAGTTCAAAAGTAACATTCAAATTCTGTACACACAGTTAATCCTTTTTGTACATGTAAACAAATTGATAGCACATAACATAGTAATTGCAAATACATGTAACTAAAAACACATACGTTTTTAACTGCAGGTACATAATAATTAAATTGTATACCATAACATGTTAATACATAAATTATTAACTACAGGTACAAAATGTGTTAACTACAGACACATAATTTTTTAACCAGGTTTACATAGAGTGCAATATAAATCCCGATCCATAGTATAACAATTGGATCCGACCATGGTATATAAGTATAACAATTGAAATTTATATATGTGGTTTTTGGGTATACTCAACCTATAGATTTTTGCAGACATATAATATAAAGCCCAAATTATGTTTGGACTTCCATAAGCCCATTCCGGGTTTCCAAAATCAGATTCGCGTCTAACGCCGAAAGAGTATAAATCACAAACCCTAAACCTCTTTTTCCTCCTCTTTCCTCTTTCCTCTCCTGCTATTGCTTCTCGTTGCCACATTCTTCTCACAGCAGGAGAGCCACCATTGCCTCTCTCTCTCTCTCTCACTAACCCAACTTCCCTTCCTTTACACAAAGCTATATACCTAAACCTATAATGCCTTCCGTCATTGTTGCTGAAGCCATGGCCTCTGAAGAGTCACTAAAAGACCTGAAGAAGAAGGGGAAGAAGACTCCAAAACCAGCCGCTGAAACCCTAGACTCTGAAAAGAAGAAGTCAAGGCATAGTAAGGTTGATTCGGAGTCTGATCCCGAGGGAAGCTCGGCGGAGAAGAAGCGGAGTAAGAAGAAGGAGAAGAAGCGAAAGGCTGCCGAGATTGATAGCGGCGATGAGCAGGGGAGCGAGAGCTCCGAGTTGGTGGAGCCGGTGAACTTCAAGGCGGAAAAGAAAAAGAAGGCTAAGTTGATGGAGGCGGTTGGTGGTGATGAGGAGGAGGAGGATCCGTACGCGATTACCAATTTCCGGATTTCGAAGCCTCTCAGAGAGGCTTTGAAAGCTAAGGGAATTGAGTCGTTGTTTAAGATTCAAGCTATGACCTTTGAGGCCGTTTTGGATGGTACTGATATGGTCGGTAGGGCTCGTACTGGTCAGGTATGAACTGTTCAGTTTCCCGTTAATAATTTGTTTTTGCTTACAAATTCAAGTCTTTGGAGTTTCTTGACAATGTTTCCAATATATTATTTAGCTGTTTAATTCGATGGGTTAACATAATTGAGTAAATTCTGTTGTCTATTTTTGGAAATTACAGGGTAAAACACTGGCCTTTGTTTTGCCAATTTTGGAGTCCTTAACTAATGGTCCAGCTAAAGCTACCCGGAAGACCGGGTATGGTAGACCTCCCAGTGTTCTGGTGCTTTTACCTACCAGGGAGCTCGCTCTTCAGGTTTGATCCAAGAAACCTAGTCTGACCTGGCAAAATCTTTTTATTTGAAGTTTTTTCTTTTTATATTAAAGTCCATCATCTTACTTGGTGATCAAAACAGGTTTTTACTGACTTTGAGATGTATGGTGGGGCATTGGGGCTAACTTCTTGTTGCTTGTATGGTAATACACCTTATGCACAACAAGAAATGAAATTGAAAAGAGGAGTTGACATTGTAGTTGGAACGCCTGGACGGATCAAGGTACCCTTTTTCATGGATTCAGCATTGGATTTTTGCTTATTTTTATGTATTAAAACATTGATGAGTAGTAATGCTTCAATACTTGTGTTCAGGATCATATAATGAGGGGAAATATTGACTTGACCTCTTTGAAGTTTCGTGTCCTTGATGAAGTTGATGAAATGCTGAGGATTGGTTTTGTTGAGGATGTTGAATTTATTCTAGGTATTCAACTATTCATCATTTTTAGGAACAGTTTTGTGTATTATTCCTCTCTCTGGGGTGCTGTTTATTATTATGGAGTATCTTGTTCATAGATATTCATTGATCTTTGAGTCCATTACATTTCTTTTCTAATATTTTGTGTATAATAATGATTATAAATTATCCCTGATCCTTAATCTTTTTTTTTTTTCCTTTTAAATTTAAAAGGCAAGGTGGCAGATGTGAAACAAGTTCAAACACTCCTTTTCAGTGCAACATTGCAGGATTGGGTGAAGCATGTTAGTTTTACCAATATCTCTCACTTTTTTTTTTTTTTTTTTAAACTATTAATTAACAAGAACACTGGGAGTATGTGCTCTCCTTTAGATTACAATGTAAGCAAACTGGTTTGGTCATTATGGTAGGCAAGGTGCCTTTTTGGCATTGTAGAATTTATCATTATAATAATTATTATAGTTTTAAAATAAAATGAATATTTTTTATTTCTATTTCTAGTTTCTATAAACCTAAAGCATTGGTTTTATATAGAGAAAATCAAGTGTGACAACCTTTAGTTAATGTTTAGTTGAATACAAAGAACACTGAATGTTAAACAAATTGAGCCACTTGGATGCAATGTTCAAACTTCAAAGCCTGATTTGTAAATGAGCCTAGCTGAAAACCAAATAAGAGGGCTTTAACAAATCCTTATTAGTTCTAGTTACGCTAGTTTTACACCCCTAAGTTAAATGTTCAATTGATGCAGATTGACTAATTAGTGGAAAGACCTTGGAATTTTTGGGATGTCTAACTTTCTGAATTTAACTTCTGCATGTTCTTTGTATTAATATATACTTTGACTCTTATATACTTCTCTTTGTTTGGCTAGATTGCCTCTAAGTTCCTCAAGCCTGATAAGAAGACGGTAGACATTGTTGGCAATGAGAAAATGAAGGCTAGCACTAGTGTCAGACATATTATTATTCCATGCTCTATCTCAGCCAGATCTCAACTTATACCTGATATTATTCGATGCTATAGCAGGTTGGTTGCCTTCAATTTTGTCACTTCCATCCATTAAATATTCTGGAAAGTGATACCTTGTGTAGTTGATTGATTTCAAATCCCCCCTTCTCTCTCTCTCTCTCTCTCTCTCTCTCTCTCTCTCTCTCTCTCTCTCGCTCATCAAATGAAATTATTTATTCTAGTGGAGGTCGCACTATTATTTTTACTGAAACAAAGGGTTATGCATCTGAGCTTGCTGGCTTGTTGCCTGGGGCCCGGGCTTTGCATGGAGACATACAACAGTCCCAACGTGAGGTAAAATTTTGTTCAACACTATTACTCACTTTCCCTGGTGCTAATTTGCAAGAGAGTTACAGTATACTGATCATTGAATTGTTTCCAGGTTACACTTGCTGGTTTCAGATCAGGCAAGTTCTTGGCATTAGTAGCCACTAATGTGGCAGCACGTGGATTGGACATTGACAATGTCGAGTTAATTATCCAGGTTTGTCTTTACAAGATATAAGAGTGATGCTTGATTAACTAAGATTTCCATGTTGTGTACTGAAGTTGATATTACTATTTTAGTGTGAACCCCCACGCGATGTAGAAGCTTATATTCATCGATCTGGAAGAACAGGAAGGGCAGGTGAATTGCTTATCTTATTGTTTCATGGATAATCTTTTTTTCTTCTTTCTTTTGGGGGGAAATTTTATTCACCCACCACGAGTTGCTATATTCTCCAGGAAATACTGGTGTTGCTGTAATGCTTTATGATCCTAAGAGGTCCAACATTTCTAGGATAGAAAGGGAATCTGGTGTTAAGTTTGAGCATATTGCTGCTCCACAGCCAGCTGATATTGCTAAAGTTATTGGTAAAGAAGCTGCAGAACAAATTGCTGGAATTTCTGATAGGTGATTTTATTTTTGTTTTAATAAATATTGAAGGTCCTGTAACTAGTGCTTATTTACTTATAAATTATTTTAAATTTGTGAAGTGTAATACCGGCATTCAAGGCTGCTGCTGAGAGTCTGCTAAGCACCTCTGATCTGTCACCAGCAGATTTGCTTGCAAAGGCACTGGCTAAGGCTGCAGTAAGTTCTTGCTTTACTTTCATTATGTTTTTGTTGTGGAATGCAACACAAATATGTCCATAACTAAGCCTTCTGCCTTACTGTTCAGGGATATACTGAGATCAAGAGCCGGTCACTTCTCACTTCCATGGAGAACTGTGTTACTCTACACCTTGAGAGTGGGAAGCCTGTCTATTCACCCTCGTAAGGATTTATATAAGCTCAATTCAACTTCTCATAATGGAATCTTGTGTATTGCCTTTATTGCTAATTCTCTTGCATAACCTGTGTTTATAATCTTTGCCAGCTTTGTATATAATGTCTTGAAGAGGTTCTTATCTGAAGAGACAGCTGAATCAATCAAAGGCTTGACTTTAACAGCTGATGGGACGGGTGCAGTTTTTGATGTGTCTACTGAGGATGTAGATACCTTCATAGAAGGTATGTTTTTCTCTACTTTTAGTTGATCTTTTGGTAGTAGATGGATGAGAATCCTATACAATACAGTTTCCCAAAAAAATGTCATAATTAATTTCAATATCTTTTTTTTTTTTTTTGGGTTGAAAAACTCATGATTCTTTACAATGTAGTATAATATGTTCTATGCCATCACACTACATAGTAGTTGGCAATTCATTAGAACCTCCATTGTTACATTTATAGGACGAACTCGTTGTGATACCTTAAAACATTCATATTCAGCATGATTAAGCATGTCATATTGCTCTCCGCAGGTGCTAAAAAAGCATATGATGTCAGTCTGGAAGTTGTGAAAACATTGCCTCCATTGCAAGAAAGGGAACAGAGTCGAGGTGGTGGTAGATTTGGAGGTGGTGGTCGTGGGTTCTCCGGTGGGAGAGGTGGCCGCTTTTCCGGTGGGAGAGGTGGAAGAGGGGGATTTTCTGATCGAAGAAGAGGTGGTGGTGGTGGAAGAGGCCACAAATGGTGAAGAATACCATTTGTGTTTATCACGCTGCTCATTGTAGAAATTGTTCCATCCATCATATATGGAACATAAATTTTGGGATAATGAAGAAAAGTGTAGTGTCTGCTGCACATTGTGGAACCTAATTAAGACTTTCTAAGATACATAGGTTTATTGTTTTTTGAAATTACCAACTTTCTAAGATGTAGGTGTTTTATTATGTTTTATTTTTAAAGTTGTTTCCAAGTTCTATTCTTTTGTATTTTTTTCTCTCTAAAATTGCTTGTAGAATTGGGATGCACAACAATCAGTGGATTTTATTATAATTATTAATGAAATTAATTGGATTGGCTTCATTTGGATGCACAACAAATTGCTTGTAATGAAATTGCTTCTGTTCAAGACTTTGAGAGTGTTTAGTAAATAGCTTATAACTGTTAGCTGATTAGGTTAGTGAGTTTAATTAGTTGATAATATTAATTGATTGTGGAAAGATGTTTGGTAAATTAGCTGATAGTTGAATATTGGCCATGAGAAATTCTGGTATGTATTTCATCTCATTTTGTGTTTCATGTTCTGTTAAATACTGATTTTAGTTAAGACAAGAAACTTAAAAGGGACTAGAAAATTCATCAAAAATCAAAATCTTTTTATGGAGAGCAATCCTATAAGTTCTTAAAGCAGGAGACAACCTTATTAAAAGAATGATAATAAGAGTCAGCAATGTCTGCTCGGTATGTGCAATTGAAGGGTAGTCTATTCTTCTATTGCTTATGTGATTGTACATTCTCATGACAAGTGTGGGCACTGACATGCATTAGAGTAACCAAATTTCTTTTTGATGGATAGTTATAAAGCTTGAATAATGAATAAGATACAAGATGATAAAAGGAAATTCAAGTTTTAAATCTTGTCTACATGGATATGATCTAACTCATTGATTTAGTAGACAATATTTGAAGTAAGAGACCAAGGTTCAAAACTTGACAGCGCGCGCCGATGTTGGGATTCCTTATTTACCGAGTTAGCGTAATTTACACCTCCCAAATGTTCTGTTGGGGTTGGGGATTTAACTTTTTGGGAGAAGGACATTCAAGTTTGCCTTTGTGATATAGAGTTTACGGAAGAACATAAATGAAAAGCTCTTTGAAGACAAGATTTTTAGTGCTTTACAACAAGTTATGAATGCTTTTAACAAATAGTATGAATTTGAAAAAGCTAAGGCAAAAAGGTCAAATAGGCCCATGCACTAATTATAACAGTTCATTCATCCGTCACCCTGAATTAAAATAGTTAATCTAAACTATTATACTCCCATTTTTTTCACCTAACATTTTTAGTCTGTTTCCAACCGGTAGCTCATGTAATTTGCTGACATGGAAAAATAAAAAACTGACATGTTATATATATGGACATTTTGGATGATGTTGCCTGCAAATAACTCTAGTTCTTCATCATCTTCTTCGCCATTTCTAATCTCCATCACCAAAAGTTCAAATCTTCTTCGCCCATTCTAATCTCCATTGCCAAAACACTACTGGAAATTATGGAATTTCCAACCACCTGAAAGTGATCTTAAATCAAGTCGAAAGCCTTGTTCCGACCACTTTTGGTATCCGGAAAAACCTTTGTTGCTATTTCTGACCACTTTTTGATATCAACTTGATTTAAGATTACTTTCAGGTGGTCGGAAATTCCATAATTTCTAATAGTGAAATGTCTTCAGACTCTTTATGAAATGTTCGAAAAAACTTAGATTACAAGCCTCCATTGTATTGTAAATGTGGGTTGAAATCCCCAATTTGCACAACAAGAGATTAAAGAATAAATTTTATGGGTGTCAAAGATGGAAGGTGAGAGTTGTTTTCATAATTATTTTTGTTGCAAATTTCTTATATTTTGATGGTAGAAATTGGTTCAGGATAGATATGGGTGTGACTTCTTTGTTCTAGTTTTACTGGGTAAAATTTGTTTACTCTGTAGTGTGTAGAAAATTGAATGTTATGTTATGTTTCCAATTGAATGTTAGACAATTGTTTATTGTGTAGTTTTACCGGGTAAAATTGACTGATTATGTTTGTTTTTTGAGTTCAATGTTATGTTTCCATCACAATAATCTAATGAAATAACAAAAATGGCAAAATGATTGTAAACTGTATTTGAACACAACAGAAATGGCGAAATTGAAAAATTATTGTACACATTGGCAATGACAAAATGATTGTACACATTGCAATGACAAAATGATTATAAAATAGAGTTAATACCCAAAATCGTCCTCGACTATAGTGATTTTTTTCAATTTCGTCCTAAACGACTTTGGTGACCTAATATTGTCCCTGACTTTTGTGTTTCGCTCAATTTAGTCCTCCATTTGCTATTTCGTCAAATTGGTGTTAAATAAAGGGACAATTCAGTAATGTCAATATTGATCTCTCTTTACTTTCAACTTGTGAAGTGCGAAATTCCTATTTCTTGTATGAATTACACCCAGAATTACTCCCGAACCTACAAATCAAATTTTATATTCGCAGTTTTAGGAGTAATTCTGGGAGTAATTCGTAAAAAAAAAAAAGGGATTTCGCAGTTCACATGTCTATGAGTAAAGAGATGCCAATATTAAAATTACTGAATTGTCTATTTATTTAACACCAAATGGACAGAATAACAAATGAGGGACTAAATTGAGCAAAAACACAATAGTCTGGAACTAAATTGAGCGAAACACAAAAGTCTGGGACGATATTAAGTCACCAAAGTCGTTTAGGACGAAATTGAGAAAAACCACTATAGTTGAGGACGATTTTGGGTATTAACTCTTATAAAATACCATATTAGTGTTGAAAAAAATAGCATAAATTGACATTTTAAGTAGCTATTTTATGATACAAATATCAGTGGGGTCCACACTTCCGATTTGAGTCAGGTCAAAGTGGATTCGGGTTCTTCGTAGTGAGACGAAGAGATTGATATATTGTACGCTCAAAACGGATAATGGGTGAATGAGATATTGATTCTCAAAGTAGATCCATTTGAGTTGGAAAAATAAAAGAAAAAAGTGAAGCTTTTGTCCCACATTAATTTGGAAGTGGATTTGCCCCACTATTTATACAATAGCTCTTTTAAAACTTATTGAATTGTATAGCATAGAGGCTCTCTTGCACGCAATGGGATTGAAAAAGCTTGATCGAAGTCTAAATTCGTGTACACGAGCACGAATGTCATCCGGAAATTGGCAGGCCTATTTATGCCAACCCTACACACGATCCATTTCCGGAACCTTTGACGCGGTATGTCAGTGCGGTACACGTCTATTTTTCCAATGACGCGGTATGTCAGTGCGGTACACGTCTATTTCGGGTACGCAACGAGCTACTACCGCAACAGTAGATACGCGGCCACATGATCCATTTCCTGAACGGTACATGCGATGCGCGGTACACGTCCATTTCCGGTACGATACGGACCTACGGACTTGTACCGCCGGTACACATTTCCGGAACGATGAACCTACGGACCTATACTGCCGGTACACATTTCCGAAACGGTTCGTGACTGTTCAGTTCAGATGACTGTTGGGAGGATTAATTCAGTTGTTACCAAATTAATTTCATATTAATTCCAATTTTGAATTCCAGAATTAACCCTCATATTCAATGGTTAGTTTTGAAGGTTTTGAACATAGGTTTGAATGCCTAAGTAAATGCTATTTACACCATCTTCTCCTATATAAGAAGTAGTAGTAGTAGCAGCAGAATTTTTACAGTGAAATACAGAACATAGACAATTATTTTCTAGCTCCAAAATCTCTGATTCTACCCCTCTCTTAGCCTACTGTGTTCTAAGCTTTGCTCTGGTTCGCCGGGTTCAAAGTTTGGGTGCTCAAACGTTGAATCGTAGCACGTTTTATCCTGGGAAACTTAGGCTACAACGCTCCTAGCACTTGTGGGAGGTAGCAAATAAGGTTTTAAAGAAACGAACAATTCGTTCAACTCGTGCATACCTCTAACCGAATCATCCACCATTTCCTTCCCAATTATTTACATTTTCATATAATAATAATCTTTTTGTAGGATTATTATTTTTGGGGTATACCAACAAGAAACTACCCAACAATTATTAGTTCAATGTTAAAAGCAGCAAAATGTTTCACATTGGCATCTCCAATAGTTTTAGGTTTTTGTGGGTGTTTAGGAGAGAAAGGAAAGAGAAAAAAAAAGAAGAGAAAAATTAAAAGGAAAAAGAATTTGACATGGGAAGAAGAAAAAAAAAAAAACAAAAAGTAACTGTTGGCCGGGTCATAAGAGCCGGCAGCCACTCTACCGTGCCCCAGCGGGCGGTTGGTCAGTGAGACACAATTGCGTCTCACTATTTTTTTTTTAATAGTCTGACAAAAACCTCCAATTTGCAAGGCGACTCAAGCTCCAAAAACTATTACTCCACATTAGTTAAAAACCAATCTTTCAAATTTTTACTGTACCAAAAATCACAAACAAACCCGGCCCTATTGGGGATGCCCCTAAAAGAGAGACTTGTTTCAATAAGAATCTAAACCTTTTCTTATTTTCACTATACAACTCCTTGCATGAATAATGCACTCTTATTTTCATTGATTCCATGAAATGACCATGAATGCTAGATGCACCATCCATGTCAACTTCTCTGGAGAGACCTGCAAAACTAATTCCATGATGCACGCCTGGGAGTGCCTGAACTCTGTATATGTTCTCCTAGAACTGCAAAAACATTCATATTTGCTTTCATCTCATCCAAGTACTTCTCTGACTCTGCTCTTCCAAGTTCTAGAAACCAAACCTTAAACTGTATTTGATTCAACACAACAGAAATGGTAAAATGTATTTGATTGCAAAATGATTGTACACCATTTATTTTACAAAAGGATTGCTAAAATGTTCCCTGCACAGCATTACAAAATCCACTACAATCATTGCCAAAATATAGCATTACAAAATAATTACCAAATTATAACATTACAAAATGCACAACATTACAAGTGACAGTAGAAGGTGCATTACAAGTGACAACATTAAAATGTTCCCTGCACAACAATTCATGGATCTACAGTAGATTGGTTAGAAGTGACAGTAGGGAAATATCCTTTGTTATGACCCTTTTTCTTACAAATGCTACAATCATTTTCCTTCCTTGTTTAGACAAGTGTTTTCCAGAATTTTTTGGCCCATTTTCTTCACGGTTTCTTTTTTATTTTTTATTTTTTTTAGTTTCCCA